ACTAACCCCGGTTAACTGCTGATTATTCCTCCTATCCTGGCTCTAACCCGAGTTAACTACAGATTATTAGTTGTATCACTCTCTAACCTGGGTAAACAGCTGATTATCAATTCTATCCCGCCTCTAACCAGGTTAAGTGCTGATTATTACTCCCAATACCTCATCTAACCCGGGTTAACTGCTGATTACTTGCATCCTGCCTCTAACATGGGTTAACTGCTGATTATTACTCATATCCTGACTCTAACCCGGGTTAATAATTGACGATTATTACTGGTACTCTCACATCCTGCCTCTAACCCGAGTTAACTGCATTACTTGTATCACACCCTGGTAAACAGCTGATTATTACTTCACCTCTTTACCCGGGTTATGTGTCACACCTCTCTAATCCGAGTAAACTGCTATTTCTCCTATCCTGCCTCTAACCCGAGTTAACTGCATATTATTACTCGTCTCACGCCTCTAACCCGGGTTACTGCAGTTTATTGCTCTATCCCGCCTTCCACCCGGTCCTACCTGTGTAAGGGCGGCAGTCCGTCCGTGTCGTGCTCCGGGTCTCGGGTGTTGGGAATCACCCCGATGATGGTGCTTTTCAGCGAGGTTCCCTTGAGCAGCCGCCGGCTCACTAGCTGCATGTTCCGGGGAGAGTCCAGGCTGAGGCGGACGGTGGAGCCCGGGAGGAGAACTCCTTCGTGGGTCAGGAGGAGCGGGAGACGGCTCGGTATCTGAATCCCGTCGCCCGAGGCCATGACGTGAACTTTCCGACAGACCGCAGGTGGTTGTTTACAGCACGAGACCAGAAAACCTGCACTTTGATCTCTTGTCAAACAGTAAACACAATTTCCGGGTGAGGATTTTCACAATAAAACTATTTCCGGTTACAGAAAAAAAAAAGTACAGCGAAAAATCTAGACTACGGGAAGTGCCAGTGGACAAAACAAATTTAAACTTCGCTTGATAGAGTTCATTCCTCCCCCCATTTGACAAAAAGGTGGAAAGTTTTCACAATAATGCCTTTGGAAAAAATTAAAACAAACAATCGTTTACAGACAGATTTTATTAAAAACGAAGTGATGAGAGGAAGAGAAAGTTCTGTTCTGATCCAAACATCGTTTCTTAATGTTTTTTTTTTAGAAAAACTTTCTTGAAATCCTTTAAAAAATCTTGGATCTTCAGGTTTTCTTTTTTTTTTAAAAGATTTTTCACTTTTTTAAAACTTTGGTTGATTTTCATCTCTGAAATTTTACATGAAATGATGAACATTAGGAATTAAACGACAAATTTCCTGTTGAGGGAAATTCTTCTGGAATATTTTCTGCCATCTCTGCTGAACATGACTCAGAAATTAATATATAATCTGTTGTTAAATTTATTAATTTAACTTTTCTGTTAAAAAAAATATGAAAATGTAAACACCGATCCCACAGCGTTTAAAAGTAAACTAATGTCTTTCAGATGATTTTTAACACTTTCAGTAATATATTTTCGTTTGTGATTTAATAAACAAAACTGTGATTTATGCTGTTTCTGTTCTGTGTGCAGAATTAAAGCAACTGAAACCAAATAAACGTAGTTTTATAAAACACATCAGGTGAGTTGAGTGGAAATTTAAAAAAAGATGAACTACAAACTTTATAAAGAACATTTTTACATAACATGACATTTTTTAAATTCATCATCTCTAAACATTGAGAGATTTTTTATAAACTCCATTTTAGAAATCATGAGTTTGGACACAAAATTGTTGATAAAAAATAAGGATTTATTTTTGTATTTCTTTCATAAAAGCACTTTGACAAAGTTTTACACATCTTAAAAAATAAATATTTAATATTTTGTGAATAAAAAAAATCTGTTTAAACAAAGACATCGATGTGTTTGCAGGTTTTTGTTGCGACGTGGACGTTCATTTATTCTCATCAAAGTTAATTAAAAACATTAAAGCTGCTCAACGTGTCATAAAAACACACATGAATTTAAAAATAAAGGAACATTAATAATTCATGTACACGTGTCTGAGTTGTTGATGAAGTTTAAAGATGGCGTCACGTCTGCAGAAACAAACATCTGAACACGAATCTGCACAAAATGCATCTTATTTCTATAAAGTTGTTATATTTTATTTGTATTAAGAAATTGAAACACCACAAAGCGTTTCAGTAAAATCTGGGAACTTCTGAGGATGACTTTAAACTCGACAGTGGTTCTGTCTGCGTGAAATAACGAGACTCTGGTTCTGAATGGGTCGGACGGCGGCGAGGCAGAACCGGTCTGACAGGAGTTGCATAAACTAAAGTTCCTGACCGGGTCAGCGATGGGTTTTCAGCTGCAGGAGGGTTTAGTTGTAGTTTCCAAACGATAAACAGAACGTCCAGCTTCAGATCCCCTCAGCAGAAAACTTCCTGTCATTAAATTAGATTGTGTGTCAAACCAAGGCCTGCGGGCCAAATCCGGCCCTTGGTCACCTTTAATCTTTCCCTAGGCTATTATTGATTCAGTCTGGCTCTGCCGCGCCTCATTTTGCTAAGCTGAGCGCGCTCACTTCAGACGTCTCATGAACTCTCAGGTCAAGAAGGTTGAAGTTTTCAGTCATTTTTTATTTTCATGTGATAAAAGCAAACGCGCGTCAAGAGAGCGCTAAGCTCCGTTTAAAGCGCTGAGGAGAAACCTTAATGCGAGTCCGCTTTCGTTTGATTTTCTTCTCATTTCAGTCAAGTGTTTTCCTGATTTTAGTCAGTTTTTAACTGATTTGATAGATTTTAAAATGTGAAATTTTCCTTTTTCTCCAAGTTAGAACACATAAAATCTAGAAACAAAGTTAATTTATATATTTTAATAAATACTGTCTGAGACAGACCCCTGACCTGGACCAGGTTCTTGACTAAGTTTGATGGCCCTGAATCAGATTCATTAAAAAAAAAAAAGAGATGAGACAAAGTTTAGTTTCCTTTAGCTGCCTGGATGAAGAATGAGGTGGACTTCAATGGGACCAGAACAGGACCGGTTATCATACTGAGCCCTGCCATCACTGCGCCACTGAGAAGAAAAGGCGGGTAGTGCGTTTGTTAGCAAAATATCTCATGAACCACGGAACAGACAGCAATAACCTCTCTAAGAAATCACCGGGTGAACATCCACAACTGAAAACAGATTCAAGATGGCCGCCACAGCAAAGCAATCTCAGAAAACATCTTCATCTCAGCCAGTTTGACAGACACTGAGCTGAAGTTCGGTGTGGTAGTAGCCGAGAGTCATATAGAGTGAGGTGTTGCAGCGCGGCATCAGAACCGTTTTCAAGGTTCTTACAGTGACCCCGAGAGCATCTATGAACATTACCGACCGCTCTCGTCATCTCCCCCTCTGCAGAATGTCTACATAAATATGTGCTCGTTTGTGCGAGGTGTTTTTTTTTTATATTCGAGGGTTTTTTTTCAGGCAGGAAAAAAAAATGTCTGATAGGAATTTTTTTCGCCTCCAACTCCAACGTGTGTCCATTTAACCAGTTTTTGTCTGTCTAAACAGGTCTCACTTGTAAATGAGTCTTTGACGCTCAATGTGATTTATCTGTTTAAATAAAGGTTGAATGAAAAAAAAAGGTTAAACCAAAATGACCAGGTGGTCTCAGTCCTTAAAGGAACTCAGGGTCTTGAGTCTCCTCTGAAGGTTTTCCTCTTTCTGGAAACAGACTGAAGCTGCACAGAAATCTTCAGCTCAGAACATCAACAAATCCACGGAGCAGCTTCAGATCATAAAACTGGGTTCTTTTTAAATAAAGTGATGAAATGACGTGTCTGGCTTTAGGACACTTGAGTCTCTCTGGTTCAGGGTTCTGGTGAAACTTCCAGGTCCTGCAGGTCCGTTCTTTGCTCACCAGGATTAAGAATCTCCTTCTTTAGGAGTCCAACTCAGAACAAATGGTTCTGGTAAAATAAAATAAAAAATAAATGAGCAAGGATGTACAGTATGTAAATGTAGAAAGTTTTCCAAAACCTGCCTTCAGTCTGAGACGTCCACGGGACAGAAACACATCCGGCTTCCTGACAAGTCCAAAATATTGAAGTGTCTCCTCAGAAGTGAGTCATCTTTCTGTGTCACAGAGTCCAGAAACTCACAAAGTAACAAGTGGTCCAAGTCTGAGTCTGAACTCAATTTGGTCCTTTTCATGGTTCCGGAGAAAACCTGGTCCCCTGATGTAGCAAAAGGACAGATGTCAATGAGCTGTCTCTGTCCCACCGTCCTGACTCCATGACTTCTTGCTTCTCCTCGAGTGAAAAAGTCCACAATCTGAAGAAGAGACAAAAAAGCTCAATGAAAACCAAAAAGACAATAATTTCTGAACAAAATGTCTCATTTTATTCTTAGGAGGTCCTCATTGGTCCTGCCATGAGCCCGGTCACCAGGTCCACCTGAGGGATCTGAGGACTCTGTCACCAGGAATTTTTAGTTTGACTCACAGTCCTTCAGAGACACATTTAGTTTGACTCAC